TGGAGCCTGTGCTCCGCAACGGGAGAGGCCACAACAGTGAGAGGCCCGCGTAACGCCAAAAAAAAAAAAAAAAAAAAAAATTAAAAAAATTTACACAAAAAGATATTTTACATATTGCTTTAACTTTGATTTTCTTCCATTTACTAACACATCTTAGAGAGCATTCTTTTTTTATTGAAGTATAGTTGATTTACAATATTATATTAGTTTCAGTGTACTGCAGAGATTCAATATTTTCATAGATCATACTCCATTTAAAGTTATTACAAAATAATGGCTATATTTGCCTGTGCTGTACAATATATCCTTGCTGCTTATCTATTTTATACATAGTAGTTTCTTTCTCTTAATCCCGAGAGCATTCTTCATTCACATATTCTTATACATTATCTTATTCTTTTTAATAGCCGTGGAAGGTTCTATTAGTCAATGTAAAGCTATTTTACCAGGGCACAGCTGATGGGTGCTTAGCTTATTTTAGTATTTTGCTATTACAAACAATTTTATAATAAATATCATCTAACAGTAAGTTGTTGGATAAAGGGTATGAGTGTTAAATTTTGGTAACTATTGTCAAGTTGCTTCCAAAAATGTAGCATTAATTTATACTCCCACAAATAATATGATTGGCTGCTTCCTCACACTCTTGTAAAAATTGCTCATGCTCTAATATTTGACCTTGGCCGTTCTGATAGGTAGACAATTATATTTTTAAATTTTGCATTTCTTCAATTATGAGGTTAAACAGCTTTTTATATGTTTGTTGGATATTTAAATTTGTTTTTATATAAAACGCCTGTTTAGGGCTTCCCTGGTGGCGCAGTGGTTGAGAGTCCGCCTGCCGATGCAGGGGACACGAGCTCGTGCCCCGGTCCGGGAAGATCCCACATGCTGCGGAGCGGCTGGGCCCGTGAGCCATGGCCGCTGAGCCTGGGCGTCTGGAGCCTGTGCTCCGCAACGGGAGAGGCCACAGCAGTGAGAGGCCTGTGTACCGCAAAAAAACCCACAAAAAACCGCCTGTTCACTTATTTTGCAATTTTTTTTTTTTGGTTTGGGTAGTTTGCTCTTTTAAAAATTTATCTGCATATTAAGAATATTGGTTCTTCATCTCAGATAACTATTGCAAATATTCTTACTAGTTTGGTATTTGTATTTTTTATTATTGTATTTAAAGTATTTAAACTTTTCCTTTGTATGTTATTTCTTGCCATACAGAAGTTTAAAATGTTTTATATAGTCACATTTTTTTTTTCTTTTTAGCTTTTGAGTTTTGTGTTATATATTCCTTTCTCTGATACATACTAAAGAAATTACCCATGCTTTCTTCTAGTACAACCCTGGTTTAATTTTTAGCCATTTAATCTCTGTTGTACTGGAATATATTTTGGTGTTTGATGTGAGAACCAGGTAAACATACCCTTTCTTGGACTTTTCCTTTATAGCGTCAGACTTCTACGTCTTTCAATATTTTAACCATCCTCTGAATTTTTCTCAGTGCACTAA